TCCCCCCGCACGCCTAGCACTGCCGACCCTGGCTAGCTGGCTTCCAACTGCCGGGACCATGTGGTGGGCCCCACACGGCTGGTGTCCGCTCGACGCTCGGCCAGCTCGCTGCCGGCGGGGCCGCTGAGTGAGCAGTGCGCATCGCTGGGCATTCCGCCTTTGAGGCGCAGCTGGGCACTCGCGCGCATCGCTGGGCATTCCGTCTCAAACTGCCTCAGCGGAGAGCCTCAGGTTCTCGCCGTTCAAAGGTCACACAAGTTAGCGCGCCCGTGGGGATTTGAGGAAGAGCTCGGTTGAAAGTCGTCAGACGTGGGGAGCGTCGTGGGCAAGGCTAGACCAACACAAACATGACAAGGGTTACATAAGTCGCGATACTCATAGAGGCTAAGTATCAGCGTGTCGGCCAAGTACAGTGGGCAGGATTTAGGGCTCGGTTTAATCGCCTAGCTTATGCTAGATCCTCAGATACGCGTATGCTTTAGCTGATCTCATTCCTGGCGATGTCTGAAGTGTCTAAGTGAGGTTTGTTGCGGTCATAGCTGTAGGCGTCGACGCTGACTTAAATGCTGGTTCCCAGCGCCAACACCGCAGGACCAAACGCCGATTGTCCCAGGCGCCGCCACCCGCCAGCTATGGCCCTTGTTATCTTTTGAGCTGCCTTGTATTTGTCATCCGTTGCGTCGGAGCGACCCTGCATTACTGGCATGTATTGTGGCGTGCATGATAACTGGGTCGGACGAATGGCAGGAGTAGCTCAACCCGTCATGTGGCGAGCAGTTCCGTTAGATCGACGGTGGCCGCCGGCGGAAGCAAGGCTCCACCGCCGCCCGGCGGCCTCCGGAGCGGCCGGGCGGGGAAGCAAGGCTCCACCGCCGTCCGGCAGCCACCGGAGCGGCCGGGCAGGGAAGCAAGGCTCTACTGCCGCCCGGCGGCCACCGGAGCGGCCGGGCGGGGAAGCAGGGCTCTACTGCCGCCCGGCGGCCACCGAGGCGGCCGTCCCGACGAATACTAACGAGTGCAATACTGGGGAATGCCGGCACACTCAGAAAGCTCGTGGCTGGACTCTCCCAGCAAAGGCGACAACTTTGCTGTCGCCAAAGTTCCGGCGTGTCATAGACCGCCGTTAGAAGCACGCAGCCGACGCCGGATTCTCGCCGCGGAAAGGCCTGTGAGACCCTCCGGAGATGTGTGCCGTTTGAACGGGCGTCAGCACACCGCAACACACGATCCCCCTGGCGTTTTGTTGTCCCGTGTTGAGTCGTTGATAGCGCAGGTGATCACTCGGCATCGCTGTGTTTGTGGTCGGATGTAACTCGTGAGTACAGCTCGACTGAGTGTTGTTTAACTCGTGACTACAACTCGACTGAGTGTTGCTTAACTCGTCTGGGTGGGCCCCGATCATGCCGTAGTCCGTGCTCAGCGCTTTGTCTTGAGTGCCGTTGCTGCTTTGCCCCTCTTCCGCGTGCGCGGTATAAGAATACGGATGCTCGTTTCGTTTGGCTCGCCACTGTCCGCGGAGAGATCCCTCGCCTCTCACCCCGTGCTGGGTCGTCTAGCTCTATGATATATACAGCTCGCTCTTCTGCAATCGAAGTCGCTCCAGCGACTGCACCGGCACCTGCGCCGCGTGCCTGGCGACCGCTGGTGCCCGCCCGTTCTCTGGCTTTCTCGTCTGACTTCTGAACGTTCTGCCAGTGACCTCTGAACGTCCCGCGAGCGACCTGTGAACGTCCTGCGAGTGACCTCCCAATGTTCTGACCTTTGAACGCACCGCATCGCCACAACAAGCACGGGTCCGGAGCCCTTCCGATTTTCACCCGATAATAAACACGATGTAGAACTGTAGCGTTGCTGGTTTGTGACTGCCCGCGAGCGACGGGGCGCTCGTGGTTTGTCCGTGACCGCGGACCGCGGCTGCGCAGAGATAGGAGCGCCCCGTGTCTGTGGTCGGCGTCCCGTGTGTCTGCGGTCGCGTCGGAGACACTGACCGGTTCACTGGCGACCGGCCGATGTGTCTACGGTCGCGTCGGAGACACTGACAGGTTCACTGGCGACCGGCCGATGTGTCTACGGTCGCGTCGGAGGCATCAGAGGTCGGAGCACCGGTTCACTGGTGCTCAGATGGCAACTATGATTGCGAAAGTGCCACCGCAATATCGCCACATCACCACATCACCGCACCACCACACATCGCCACACATCACCATGGTGACACCACGTGAGCATTGCTAACCTGACTGCCCCGAGGCCTTCACGGGCTCGGAATAAAAATTTCCGGCGGGCCTTCAAAAATCTTGACTAGAAACGTTCCCAGAACAATCCAAACGCTCGCGTTCGTCGTGCAACAGGACATCGGTTCTCGTCTGCTTGTTTTTTTAGGACTTAAATGTTGCATCAGCAGACATGATTTTCGTCATAATCGCCGAGGTCCGAGCCGGACGAAAAGGTGATTAACTTTTTATAATATTCATTCTTTAGTTCACGGGAATTTTTTGGGGGGGATCGCGATAAGATGGGCTTTTGTCAACCTTTTGTTACCACTTGACAAGGCTCTGGCTACGCCCCCGCCTACACACAAAAGCAGATCAAGTCGTATACGTTGCATGATGGGCAATGAAGTGTCCGTTGGGTCAATTCATTCCTAGGGCATACAGCTCCCCGGAGGCTATTTTGCTGCGGTGATGTGGTGTGAGGTAAGATAGTTCGGAAAAAGATACTGTTGCAGATGCCCAACACGTATTTCATGCACCATGCAGTAGTAACGTTGGTACAAAAGCAGTTGCAACAAACGTTGCAGTTGCAATTGCAGCAACTGGCACAGTATGCAACAAAGCAGCCATACGATCAGTTCGCAGTCATTCATGAGGGGGACATCCGGGCCAGGGCAGTGACCACCGACGGCGGACAGGAGCAGTGCCTAGATAAGGAATATATGACAGATGGGCGCTATCATGTGGCTTGATTCTTCAAAGAGAATCTCCAGTTTGATGGCTTTCGTCACATTGTTTCTAGCAATTTCAAGCTCCCGAATTTGTTTCCGCCTAAAATGCCACAAGTCTGGTCTCTTGAAAAGCAGCCGGGAAAATGGTGAGGCATGAAAGATCTGTCGCACTGTGAGCCGCTTTCAAAATCCTCACCAGCCTATATCCAGACCGTATTTGGGCATCTACACTGTGGAGACAGATGCTTCCTTAATTACTCAAAATGCCTACCCGCTCGTGGAATTTCGCCTCCCCAGGAAAGACAATGTTAAAATGGACGAATAATCTAGGGAAGCTGGGTAGCCTTATTTGCCAAATGACAGATGGGTCGAATAGGCAAGATTGTGCACCAGTGATAAACCGCTCTAGATGCATATCTAGCATAGCAGCCATGACGTTTGAATAAAGGGCGATAACAACCTCCATCCCTCCCCCCGCCGGTCATCGGGCTCGCTTTCCAGAAAAAGTTGCTGAAGTACACCCTGAGCTTGGTCCCCCACTTTTTGAAACGTTCCTACGCCTATGCAGGCGTGTTCTGCTGGCAGCTAATAGCCCTATACCTGTGCTATCTAACGCACACAGCTGGAATATTCCATTGCGTTTAAGTTGCTTCCCGAGCCGACGTATTATATCCATCACTATTCATGCAGGTCTGCCACAGTCAGCTCTGCGCTGACGAGGCGTGATTTGGTCCACACAGCTCATGTCGGCCGATGGTAGATTCGAATTTTCGGCTGATAGTTCTTCGACAGTCTAGGCTGCACCTTTTGTGCAAAACTAAGCGTATCGACATCGGGCGCCCCCCTGAGGGTGCCACCGGGTGTCGCCTGACAGCTGCGCAGCGGGTGCTGCCAGGTGTTCCCTGACAGCTGTACAGCGGGTGCCGCAGGGCGTCTCCTGACAGCTGTGCCGTTGGTGCCGCCGGGCGTCCCCTGACAGCTGTGCGGTGGGTGCCGCAGGGCGTATCCTGACAGCTGTGCGGTGGGTGCAGCCGGGTGTCCCCCGACAGCTGCGCAGCGGGTGCCGCAGGGCGTCTCCTGGCAGCTGTGCGGTGGATGCAGCCGGGTGTCCCCTGACAGCTGTGCAGCGGGTGCCGCCGGGCGTCTCTTGACAGCTGTGCAGCGGACGCCGCAGGGCGTCTCCTGGCAGCTGTGCGGTGGGTGCAGCTCCCATGAAAGTATTCCCGGAGAAACCATCGGAAATCAGCTCGACCTGAGCGCATGTTTAAGCAGCTGTCGGACTGTAGCGGTGAGCGAACAACACAGCTCTTCTCAGGGCCCCTGCCTGTCCCGCCAATACAGGACGAGGTAAGACCTGCTGTCCTAAAGATGTTCAGCAGCCTGGTTCACTCACCACATCGCTTGCACCAAGCTCTTCTGAGGGCTCTAGCCGTGCTGGTCTTCCGCCCGGCTGAGCTTGCCGGTAATTTTGCTGGATCCGCGTTTTTGCGGTGCAAGCAAGATTGGGGTGGCTAGTCAACTCGGCCTGCGAAGGATGAACAGCTGCCTCCTTTCTCCAGTGTGGTGTCATTGAGCCACTCAGAAAGCTCCTGACGAGAAACGATCCGGAGGCCAGAACACTAGTTGCACGTTTTACGTATGGATAGCTGAGGTGACCACGCACCCTCAATGTATTTGATTTGCATGCAACATACAATGGATGTTCTTCCATTGTATGTTGTCCGACGGGACGTTAAATCAATGGTGGTGAATATCACATTAAAATTTTCTGCCGCTAGTTCACAGTTGTTTTCATGGAGTAAGAGCTTCCGCAAATAAGCTCATGAGAGCGACAATTAATCAACAATTTCCACAAGCTGTAGCAGATATAACCAACGGACGGCAGCAGCAGTCACTGCGGTTAATCTGCATCAACACAGATAATTTAGAATTGTGCCCCTACGAGAGAGAATGAGGTGTACGCTAGGTTACGGTGCTTGGATGCCCGGCATGCCGTGTTTCGTATAAAACAAGCTTCCACTTTGATCAGCAGCGGGACCACCTGTTAAAGAAAACCAGCTAACCCAGAACATGTATTACATGCGGGGTGCTCAAGTCGGCCGCTCTCAGGGGGCAACGAGTCAAGTCCGTTTAACGCGGACCTCATGCATGACGAAACTAGTCATTGTTTAGCACAGAGTACCACCACATCCACGTCGTTCGCACGCTGAAGAACAGCAATCCCGCAGGAAACACCTGTCATACATTTCTGCGGTCGCACTGCTGCCCATGCCGTCCTGCAGTACACAGGACACCCTCGTCGAAGGATCTACCCAGCCGCGCAGAGATCGAATGAACCGCGATCAGGGCAGAGGTCACGACCTGTGCGGCCGCTGGTGAGGGGAGAGGGAGGGGGAGGGGAGGGGGAGGGGCGCAGGTGACGCCGCCAAGGCCTCAGCAGGCGTACATGATGGTGCTGCCCGCCATGAATAGAGTAGCAGCCACCCCGACTATGAACGCCAGCCCTCGGACACCAGGCACCTGGAACAGGACAGAGCCGCGCTCGTGACACGCTACATGATACTGACCTTGAGAGATGATTTATGGGAATCAAGACCAATAAGAGAACACCTGATTTTCTGAAGCCATTGGTATGTGTGTGACGTTGTAGTGGTTTTGCCTATTTTTGTTTACTCCAGTCAAATAGAGCAGGCTGAGCCAAACAGTGGAAGCTAAGACGATTTCAAAAAGAGGCAAAGCCCGCACATGTATGCACCAAATGATAATGACTGGCCATGCCTAGAGCGACCGGATCAGATGCACACTGGCTGACCAATATCAGATATTGGTAATGATAAGGACTGGTCATGCCTAGAGCGACCGGATCAGATGCACACTGGCTGACCAATATCAGATATTGGTAATGATAAGGACTGGTCATGCCTAGAGCGACCGGATCAGATGCACACTGGCTGACCAATATCAGATATTGGTAATGATAATGGCTGGTCATGTCTAGAGCGACCGGATCAGATGCACACTGGCTGACCAATATCAGATATTGGTGATGATCATGACTGGTCATGCCTAGAGTGACCGCATCAGATGCACACTGGCTGACCAATATCAGATATTGGTAATGATAATGGCTGGTCATGCCTAGAGCGACCGGATCAGATGCACACTGGCTGACCAATATCAGATATTGGTAATGATAATGGCTGGTCATGTCTAGAGCGACCGGATCAGATGCACACTGGCTGACCAATATCAGATATTGGTGATGATCATGACTGGTCATGTCTAGAGCGACCGGATCAGATGCACACTGGCTGACCAATACCAGATATTGGTGATGATCATGACTGGTCATGCCTAGAGTGACCGGATCAGATGCACACTGGCTGACCAATGTCAGATATTGGCAAAGCTGCGGCGGATGTTGACATTCCGTTGGCATCGGGGATATGGCGCCAGGCGTTAGAATTCGGCTCCCAGCAACTTTACAGCCCCAGATCCGTCAACTCTACAGCCCCAGATCCATCAAGTTACAGCCCCAGACCGTCAACTTACAGCCCCAGATCCGTCAACTTTACTGTCCCGGAGCCGTCAGCTTTACGTTCCCAGATCTGCCGACTTTACAATCCAATATCCGTCAGCTTCACAGACCCAAACCTGTCAACTTTACAGCCCCAAGTCCGGCACTCTGACAGCCCAGATTCGTCAAGTTTACAGCCCCAGATCTGTCAACTTAACAGCCTCAGATAACAACGGTAAAGATCTGGGCTATCAGTTTCCAGGGTCCACGCTGCAAGGTTAAATCTTCTTCAAAGTGCAAACACCCGGGCATTTCTCCTCATCGGCCAACACCGACAAAGCAATCGCCCTATCAGTCCCTTCATTCACCACACCGTACCAGGATCATCATCATCAGTTGGCAGCGTTACGCGCCACACTAACTGCGCCCTGGAGGCGCCGCCCCATCATCCGTACCTCATTCAGGTAGAGCACGGTATGGGCGATCCGGGCGATGGCGAACGTGCGGATGACGTTGGTGGCCACCCAGACGGCCGGCCCGGTGGCCAGGTAGATCGGGCACAGGACCAGGAACGGCAGGATGTTCTCCAGGTCGTTGAGGTGGGCGCGGCGCACGCGCTCCACGTCCGGGTCGTCGAAGATCACCTTGCCGTCCCGCTTCTTGGCATCCTCCGCGTTGGCAAAAACCTGCAAAACGACACCAGACCGTCTCAAGGAAGCGGCATGGAGCAGCTGCAGCGATAGAAAGAGACGTGACCCGAGGACCGTAATTTAGGACTGGCCAGAGTTTCGGAGGCGTAGCTGCCTCATCGATAACGCCAAGCATCCAAAGGACGTCAATGGTACATGCGTGTGTAAAAACGATGTGCCCGACATGTGTGACGCAAGACGTCAATAAGACATGCTGCGATGACCATTGCAGTCGGCTGGCGTAACACCGTTTACGGAAAACACGACACCAAAAGTCAGAGCACAATGAGTTGTGCTTTTCATCGTCACCTGGCCATGCTTCACAGGCGAGCATCAACATCAACCAGTCAACATCAACCAATCAGCATCAACCAATGAGATCTTCCGCGATCGAGATCGCGGAGGCCGCGCCGGCCGGGTTCGGCCCCCAGCGTCCATACGACTCACGTTCTTGCGCATGCGCTGTCGTCCGGTGAGGAAGGCCATCGTCATCATCTTGACGACGAGCAGCGCCGACCAGAACAGGTACACCCGGAACACGGGACTCTCCGGGCTAAGATCCGCGAACCCCGCCATGGTGGTCGTCTCCGTCCACCGTCAGCCTGTTCTGTCGAGTCCCGGGATTCTCCGCCGGCTTCACCTGTCAAGCGGTTGAGAACGCTCATTGTTCACGTGTCACGTGACACGGCTGCCGCGGCCACGCGTCGGCGTCGCGATGCTGAGTGACTCGGTGTCAGAGCCCTGGTGAGCGCCTGGCAGCCGAGGCTGCTTGCCTTTTGGCGTGAGAGACCGACTGCAGCAGCGCATGGACGACACAGAGTCTCTTAAGGAAAGAAGGAAGGTCACATAGGTAAAATAGAGAGCTATAGACCAATGGTCCTTGAGAACGGGGAAACCGCGATCATAAGATTGATGACACAGTGATGACACATAGACAGACACGATGACACCGAAGTGTGCAGGCGACAAAGGCGCGATCACTCCGTCGATCAGAGGAATGCTCATGGGATAGCGTCTTCAACAGCATGCTTACGCTCCGAATTCCTCACAGACAGCATGTTCGTGAGAGCCTTGCAAACGCCACAGTCGTGATGTTGACGATAATTGGTGGAAGCGGGGCATCTACGCAACGATCTGATAGCTTACCACGCTTAAAGGTAGAGTTGGGGACGATTGTAAATATGAAGGTGACTAATCCGCTGTTCAGCGCGCGCGCGCGCACACGCACACACACACACACACACACACACACACACACACACACACACACACACACACACACACACACACACACACACACACACACACACACACACACACACACACACACACACACACACACACACACACACACACACACACACACACACACATACACACACACACACACACACACACACACACACACACACACACACACACACACACACACACACACACACACACACACACACACACACACACACACACACACACACACACACACACACACACACACACACACACACACAGTCTTCGTCACTTGATCATGCAATGTCTTGACTCCCGAGCCTTACCTCTCAGCTTAGGTGATCTTAACAGAAACCTACGGTATAAAAAATGGCTAAACACACTTAATGATGACTTGGTTACGTCACGTGCTGTGTCAAAAATATGTACCCAATCGAGATAACAGAATGCAACAAGTGTAGTCACAAACGCCCTCTGGTCCTCCTTACACTTGTCACCATCTATACAGCTACTTCTGCTTTGAAGTCTGTTAGTGAGCCAGCCTTAGTTGGCAGTTCATTCTCTGAAAAAACTTATGCGCGTGCAAAACCACGAGACTTTTGCTCGAAGGGACCCGCCTAGGAATGAGCCCACCCCAACTGCGGCATCACCGTGCGGCTATCCGTCACATAAGGAAAGAGAAGGATTTAACCCACATGGCTTACCTCCCTTAACACCTGTCGTCTCTGGCTGACCTCTCCTGACGCTGGTGTCCCGAACAAGCCCCTCAGCAGCGGTGCAGTCCCTCTGGCCGCAGCTCCTACCCACTGCACGACTGGTTTGCTAGTCACCACTCCATGCTAGATAAGCGAGGCTTTTCAAACATGTTAAGGTACGCGGAGTTCTGCCATTGGCCCGCTGCAGAGGCGGTCTCAGCGAGCCTCTTCCGGGGGTGTGGACGCCGTCCGTACCAACTCAGCGCGCCGTGCCCCGCCCCTCCCGCGTCAGCCTGCGCCCACAGCGACACGCCACGGGTCAAAGTTCGGTCCTCGGGCGGCGGCGGAGGACCAGCGCCCGCGGCGGCGGAGGAGCGGCGGCCGCGGCGGCGGAGGAGCGGCGGCCGCGGCGGCGGAGGACCAGCGCCCGCGGCGGCGGAGGAGCGGCGGCCGCGGCGGCGGAGGAGCGGCGGCCGCGGCGGCGGAGGACCAGCGCCCGCGGCGGCGGAGGAGCGGCGGCCGCGGCGGCGGAGGACCAGCGCCCGCGGCGGCGGAGGAGCGGCGGCCGCGGCGGCGGAGGACCAGCGCCCGCGGCGGCGGAGGAGCGGCGGCCGCGGCGGCGGAGGACCAGCGCCCGCGGCGGCGAAGGACCAGCGCCCGCGGCGGCGGAAGGAGCGGCGGCCCGCGGCGGCGGAGGACCAGCGCCCGCGGCGGCGTAGGACCAGCGCCCGCGGCGGCGGAGGACCAGCGCCCGCGGCGGCGGAGGACCGGCGGCCGCGGCGATGCCCGTCAGCGGCGCCCGTCCGTAGCCGGCCGGCCGTGCCTGGCTGCTCACGCCTGCGCCCGGAATGTTGCCGAGCCCGGCCGTGCTGCGTCACGGTGACTTGTGGTATTAAGCGGAGGAATGCTGCCCTGCCCGCGGGCGCAAGACGTAGCCGGCTGACGCAAACTGACGTGGCGCTCACGCACGCGCTGGGGGTGCGGCAAGTCATGATGACCATAGTTCGTAATGTACACATTGCATAATGTCCACAGTGCATAATGTCGATAGTTGGTGATACCTACAGTTCGTAATGCCCACAGTTCATAATGCTCATGGCTTATCACGTTAACAACTCAGCATGCCCGCGGCTCAAAATGTCTGCAGTTCACAGTGTCTTTAGGTCATAATGCCTACAATTCGCAATGTCTTCAGTTCATGATGCCTACACCGCGGATCGGGGATCATGATCAGGACCATCGGACTAAGCGAGGGAATATGAGAGATAAGAACGAAATGTTCCAAAAGGACTCAGTGGAGTGGCCCAGCGTCAGTCAGGGCTCCCCAATGCCGAACATGGGCTCCCTGCCCCGTTTCAGCCAGGGGTCCAACAAGCCAAACTGCGGGCCCGTGCCAACCACTGGACCCTCTGCGCCGGTAAGGAATGAGGGCATTGGTGATGAGGGATGGGATGGGATAAGGGATGAGGGAGGAGAGAAGGGGGGAGAGAGGGGAGAGAGGGGAGAGGGAGGAGGAATGAGGACGATGATGATGTAAGGGATAAGAGGGGAGAGGGAGGAGGAATGAGGACGATGATGATGTAAGGGATAAGAGATGAGGGCTCGTCAGCAAGGGCCTTGGAGCGGTCCGGCGTCGACTGTTCAGGTCGGGAGACACCGGTGACGCCATAGTGACAGCCGGTAGGAACCCCACATTGGTACGGAGAGGCCTTTCAGCCCCTGACCGCGAAAGGCCTTTCAGCTCCTGACCGTGAAAGGCCTTTCAGCCCCTGACCACGAAAGGCCTTTCAGCCCCTGACCGCGAAAAGCCTTTCAGCTCCTGACCGTGAAAGGCCTTTCAGCCACTGACCACGAAAGGCCTTTCAGCTCCTGACCGCGAAATGCCTTTCAGCCACTGACCACGAAAGGCCTTTCAGCCCCTGACCGCGAAAGGCCTTTCAGCCTCTGACTGCGAAAGGCCTTTCAGCCTCTGACTGCGAAAGGCCTTTCAGTCCCTGACTGCGAAAGGCCTTAATTAACATGAATGCATTTCGGAGAATGCCATTTTGCCGAATGTAATCGGTAGAATGCTTTTTTGTCGAAGTGTCTTTTGGCAGGTGCAAGGTTTTAGGGCGAAATTGTGAGTGTCATACAACAACTTGCCTACAGGTGTTTTTTTGCCGGCGTGTCAAATCATGTTGATACTTTATATAAGTAAGAGCGGCCATGGGATTCCGGTGTTATGTCGTTCCGAATTTAAAGTTCTAGTGGTGACAGAAGTCGACCTTCAAAATACCAGGCGGTACAGGGTAACCGACGCTATTGAGCAAACGTTGGTAAGCTTGTCAAAACTCAACGCCTTAAGATGTGCCCATGGTCACGGATGGTGACAATAAAATATTGACAGCTTTCTTGAACTGCGCTACCGTCGCCACAAACGCGGCTTGAAACGCTGAGCTTTGACAACACAACCAATGTTTCCTCATTAGCCTCGTTTAACCAGTGCTTGCTGGTACCTTAAAGTCGATCCTCGTCAGCCTGAGAACTCCAGGAACCTGAGCAGCACCTCCTGGTGTACTGAAGCTTCGAGACACTCCATCGTGTGAACCACAGCCTGAGAATGCCTATATCTTAAGATGCCGAGCTTATTTACTGAATGCTGCGTTGTCAAAAGGAATTCACCGGAATGCCAACGTGTCGCGATGCCGTTTAGTCCAATGCTAAATACCGAAGTGTTTGACTACGAAGCCGGTGAAATGTTCTTTCCGCTAATATGTGCTCGAGTGCGTATAAGTCCAAAAGCTCTTTCCTGGAGCTCCCACGATCAAAATGCCTTGCAGCATTGTGCTGTAAGGCATTTTGCTGCCTGTATACTACTACTAACAAGCAAACAGCAGTTTATTCTTCGAGCTTTGATTAGCCCAATGATCTTCAAACCAATGCCTAATCGTGGGAATGTCGTTGACAGGGTGCAGGAAGAATCCTTTCAAATGTGTACTGGCTGTAATGGCGTAATCGTGCACCGCCGTGCGGTCTCCTACCTCTTCGCAAACAATTCGTCATCATTCACGTGGAGCCTAGTGCACCGGAAGGGAAACGTGACTTCTGATCACTATTATGGCAGTGTCCTTAACTGGGTCGGGTCAACACAATGCTCACAGTCAATGTTATATCGCAGAATTACGCAGATTCCAAACGCCATAAGGTGGCACCAAGGCTCTGCCTTCGTGAGTTGCGCAAAGACATTTGCTCCACTAATCTTCGTTGGATCGTTTTCGATGATATTACTTAGAATATCAAGTGTAGGAATTGGGAAGCTGATGGAGTTTCAGTGTCGGTCGGACCGGCCGTTCAAGCTCCTGCTGCCGACCACGCCGCACTAGAGGAGCTCAGATTCTTCCCAGCGAGATGAAATCCGGCGCGCTGCTTGCTGTGCAGTCTGCTCTGCTGCTCTGTCTGTATCTGTGCAGTCTGCTCTGCTGCTCTGTCTGTATCTGTGCAGTCTGCTCTGCTGCTCTGCCTGTATCTGTGCAGTCTGCTCTGCTGCTCTGTCTGTATCTGTGCAGTCTGCTCTGCTGCTCTGCCTGTACCCGTGCAGTCTGCTCTGCTGCTCTGTCTGTATCTGTGCAGTCTGCTCTGCTGCTCTGCCTGTATCTGTGCAGTCTGCTCTGCTGCTCTGTCTGTATCTGTGCAGTCTGCTCTGCTGCTCTGTCTGCATCTGTGCAATCTGCTCTGCTTCCGGCATTCCGGCTCTGTCTGTATCTATGCAGTCTGCTCTGCTGCTCTGTCTGCATCTGTGCAATCTGCTCTGCTTCCGGCATTCCGGCTCTGTCTGTATCTGTGCAGTCTGCTCTGCTGCTCTGTCTGTATCTGTGCAGTCTGCTCTGTTGCTCTGTCTGTATCTGTGCAGTCTGCTTTGCTGCTCTGTCTGTATCTGTGCAGCCTGCTCTGCTGCTCTGTCTGTATCTGTGCAGTCCGCTCTGCTGCTCTGTCTGCGTCTGTGCAGTCTGCTGTGCTGCTCTGTCTGTGTCTGTGCAGTCTGCTCTGGTGCTCTGTCTGTGTCTGTGCAGTCTGCTGTGCTGCTCTGTCTGTGTCTTTGCAGTCTGCTGTGCTGCTCTGTCTGTGTCTGTGCAGTCTGCTCTGCTGCCCTGTCTGTGTCTGTGCAGTCTGCTCTGGTGCTCTGTCTTAGTCTGTACAGTCTGCTGTGCTACTCTGTCTGTGCAGGCGATAACAGCCCTGAAATTGAGAGGTGGTCGATAAGCCGCATATCTTACCACATGCCCCTGCGGAAGCTGAGAGTGACGTGCATGCCAACCGCCCGCGATCATCATTGCCCGGTAGCCGAGAGTGACGTGTCTACCAAACGCCCCCGATCATCCCTGCCCGGTAGCCGAGAGTGACGTGTCTACCAAACGCCCGCGATCATCCCTGCCCCGTAGCCGAGAGTGACGTATCTACCAAACGCCCGCGAGCATCCCTGCCCCGTAGCCGAGAGTGACGTGTCTACCAAACGCCCGCGATCATCCCTGCCCGGTAGCCGAGAGTGACGTGTCTACCAAACGCCCGCGATCATCCCTGCTCGGTAGCCGAGAGTGACGTGTCTACCAACCGCCCGCGATCATCCGTGCCCGGTAGCCGAGAGTGACATGTCTACCAACCGCCCGCGATCATCCCTGCCCGGTAGCCGAGAGTGACATGTCTACCAACCGCCCGCGATCATCCCTGCCCGGTAGCCGAGAGTGACGTGTCTACCAAACGCCCGCGGTCATCCCTGCCAGGTAGCCGAGAGTGACGTTTCTACCAAACGCCCGCGATCATCCGTGCCCGGTAGCCGAGAGTGACGTGTCTACCAAACGCCCGCGATCATCCGTGCCCGGTAGCCGAGAGTGACGTGTCTACCAAACGCCCGCGATCATCCGTGCCCGGTAGCCGAGAGTGACGTTTCTACCAAACGCCCGCGATCATCCCCGCCCGGTAGCCGAGAGTGACGTGTCTACCAAACGCCCGCGATCATCCGTGCCCGGTAGCCGAGAGTGACGTGTCTACCAAACGTCCCGCGATCATCCCCGCCCGGTAGCCGAGAGTGACGTGTCTACCAAACGCCTGCGATCATCCCTGCCAGGTAGCCGAGAGTGACGTGTCTACCAAACACCCGCGATCATCCCTGCCCCGTAGCCGAGAGTGACATGTCTACCAACCGCCCGCGATCATCCCTGCCCGGTAGCCGAGAGTGACGTGTCTACCAAACGCCCGCGATCATCCCTGCCCCGTAGCCGAGAGTGACGTGTCTACCAAACGCCCCCGATCATCCCTGCCCCGTAGCCGAGAGTGACGTGTCTACCAAACGCCCTCGATCATCCCTGCCCCGTAGCCGAGCGAGACTCCGGCATCGAAACGGGGACCGTGAACAGGTGCACCCCGCCCGCCCGACGGCCTCTGTCGTACTCCAAAGTAATGGCCATCCCGCCCGCCCCACGGCCTCTGTCGTATTCCAAGGTAATGACCGAATTTCAACACGCTTCCTTCCTTGCTTGCTGTGTTTATATGATGACATCCGACTGCTCAGCACATTTTTCACAGCCTCCGGCCCACGTGCCCACGTCTGCGGGGCACCGTACGGCAGGGACGACCAGACAGGTCCGGCCGTATCTATGTCGTTGTGGCGTGATTCGACTGAAGGCCATGCTCTTAAGCCACAGGAGCTATCGAGTCCGGCTGCTGCTGTGTCCCTGTGCTACTCTGTGTTTCATAATTGCCACGCTGGGTGCCCGCGTGCCAGTTTGCCAATATTCTATGTGTCGTGGGGAAGTGGTCTGCACAGGGAAACTGCCCAGACTGTCAGCCTCAATTTCAGATATAAACACGAAAGACACAGATATCTGCTGACAGGAACAGATAAGCTGCTCCACTTTCAGTAGAACCTGAACACTATCGCGATCGTCTTGTGCAGGACGATTTCAACACTATAGCTGTATAGTGCTTTTTATGATCGAACCTGGCTTGAAAGCATATCTAATTTCAGGCCTTCATCACAAACTTCCACATACATGCCGTTACCTAACAGTGCAGTTCTTTTCTCATCTTTCGCGGTCTGAACGAACTCACCTTTTTACAATAATTGGTTGTTAGTAAATAACTGTTTTGCAATGATTCGAATCTCCAAAGGGCAAGACCCCTTTCAGTAAAGAACAACTCCACCTTTAAAGTTACAGTACTATGATCACATAGAACACCGGGTTCGATTTCAATTTCGGTGGTTCTATGATATTTGGTAGCTGCGTAATTTTTCACCTTTCATTTTGAGTAATTTCACTGGTTGGTGGCTCGACGGCTAGTCTTTCTGCTCAGCGTAAAGCTACGGCTTGTGGTGACACAGCGCAAGCTGGCTTGAAAGTCTGAAGCAGACAACCTGATCTGAAAACGATATTCTGAATCAATAAATATGCAAAGCGCGTGGACATAGGTGGTGTGAATAAAATTTCATGGTAGCGATTCGAGAACATATGTCTCCCATGATCCAGCATGTACAAAACATCCGAGTGAGCTTTGGCGGACGGACACTCAACCTGTAAAGCTCTCCCGCGTTCCCAAACCGACGCGGCCAGACGTACTGACACCAAGCTGCTTTCCCCATGCCACGGAGTGGTGCAGAGTCCCAGGTCCTGCATTCCCCAGCATATAACGGCGCTACACCGAGGCCAGTAGCCACTCAGTTTCAACCACCAGTAGGGCAAAGGGCACATTCTCCATAGAGTCGCTGTGTCTTCAGCTATCCCCGACGGCTCCGCTATCCCAGTTTGACCGTTTTTAGGCTTGATTACATATGGATAAAAAATCGCAGTACTAATACAGAAATCCGGTTAGTGGTGGACCTGGCCGCACTACCCACGCCCGACCAGGCGCACAAGCTGGTTTGGTCGTAGGTGAAGCTACAAGCCTATGCTGATCTCCAGCCAATAAACAGCTGGGTAAGACAGCATTAACCTCCGCCAACAGCCCGGCTGCCTCTTCCTTACTCTCTCTCTCTCTCCTCTCCTCTTGGGTGTGCACGACGTTCTTAAGCAGATACCGTGTTTGATCCCAGAAGGATCAATACAGGTTGCTCGCCTCATTTGAAACTGCAAACAAGGATTGGCTAAGATCGGTTCTTACACTACCCACGACTACAGTCAGTCAAGACGGAACACGACTGGTTATGACTAACACTTCCTCGAATGACCTCAATGGCGTAAGATGACCTGTTTGAATTTCCTTGGTTTTGTGCGATTGATGTTTGTGCCACCGTTATGGCATATAATGATGTAAGCCCGCATGAAGACCGGCGCAAGAAGCAGCTTGTGCAGAAAACCTGGTCCAACGAAAAAATATGTGATCCGAATTCATAGCGCTCTAATCGTAACCTCGCACAACAAAATCACCCAACTAAGCAGGCCGTACCATAAGCCGTCAAGTGCCGCGTTGTTGGTCTGTCTAGCCGGTTCCTTTAAGCAATACTGCCGCGAAGGCTCGCACCTGCGCCAGCTCAGATCGGCGCTGAGATAAGCTTGCGCCGCGCCGGACTGGCCGCACCCCGCCACAGGCTCGTCGGGACCGCCTCCGCACCTGGCCAATGAGCGGGCACCGGTCTCGTGATGTTTGAACAGCGTCTCGCCTATCTGGCCAGTCGGCAGAGGGCCTTTCGGGAGCGAGCAAGAGCTAGAATCGGGCGGGCGGCGTGGCAACTGAAAGGTGAACCAGGGACGACAGACGTCGGGGGAGGCCAGCCGGGGACGAAAGACGTCGGGGGAGGTCAGCCGGGGACGACAGACGTCGGGGGAGGCCAGCCGGGGACGACAGACGTCGGGGGAGGCCAGCCGGGGACGACAGACGTCGGGGGAGGTCAGCCAGGGACGAAAGACGTCGGGGGAGGTCAGCCAGGGACGAAAGACGTCGGGGGAGGTCAGCCAGGGACGACAGACGTCGAGGGAGGTTAACCAGGGACAACAGACGTGAGGGCAGGTCAGTTAGGGACGACGGACGTCAGGAGAGGCCATCCTTCCGTTCTCCGTGCGATGGATGGCTCTGTTGCGAGGTCACAGGCGTGGTGGGCTGCTCCCAGCCGAATTCCTCCCAGAAAAATGTTTTCTACATTTGCACTCGCTTCAGTGTTGATAGACGTCTGTAAGTGCACCAGATACAGTCTGTCATCTTGCCTGACCTGACCTGGCTGTCATCTTGTCAGCTACGGACCTCTGAAACTCTTAGCCGCTGCCTCTCATCGCCGATCAAGCCACAATTGCGACGCGTGGAATGCGTGCAGCTAACAGGCTCGACCGCTGGACAGGCGGAGCTGGGAGAGCGTCTCGGGACTCCGCAGAGTCCGCCTAGAGTCCGTGGAGGCAGCCGTCATGACGGGACTCGCGCATCTTACCCCGGAGAGTCCCCTGTTCCGGGCGTACCTCTTCTGGTCGGCCCTGCTCGTCGTCAAGACAACCACGATGTCCTTTCTCACCTCCAGACATCGCAGAGCAAAGGGCGTGAGTTGTGAAAAGAAGGTAGTAGAAAAACTCTCTAGAAAAAAGCGAATGCAAACGCCAACAAAACAATACCTACGTAGAAAACTGCGCTGCCTGGCTGTCTGCTGAGGAGCACTGAAGGTTGTCAGGAGGTGGCATTAGTTTGATTGTTTGACCGTGCAAACTGACATGATTTTCATAACGATGGATGGATATGGAAATGGTAGTATTATAACCATGGATGAGTGGATATATATATATATATATATATATATATATATGTGTGTGTGTGTGTGTGCGTGTGTGTGTGTGTGTGTGTGTGTGTGTGTGTGTGTGTGTGTGTGTGTGTGTGTGTGTGTGTGTGTGTGTGTGTGTGTGTGTGTGTGTGCGTGTGTGTGTGTGTGTGTGTGTGTGTGTGTGTGTGTGTGGATATGTACATAATATGTAACGATATTATCTATATCCTACATCATGCGCGCGCTTGATATCTCAGCTGGGTGAATTAAGTTTACTATACCAAGCAACACACAGCTTATGAAACATCTCATGTCCATCAGCTGGCCATGGAGAAAACCCCAGCTCTACCGAAATTCGACCGAGTTGGCAGCACCATCCGAGGCGATAACCATCCATATGGCAGTGCTTTGGCTTCCACCCGCCGAACGACCTTGATTTTATTGCGATTGTCATGCATCGCCCTGGCAGGTCTGCCCCAACCCGTGACTGTCACGTGTGGCCCTGGCAGGTCTGCTTCCACCCGTGACTGTCACGTGTGGCCCTGGCAGGTCCGCTCCCACCCGTGACTATCACGTGACGCCCTGGCAGGTCTGCTCCCACCCGTGACCGTCACGTGTGGCCCTGGCAGGTCTGCTCCAACCCGTGACTGTCACGTGTGGCCCTGGCAGGTCTGCTCCCAACTGTGACTGTCACGTGTCGCCCTGGCAGGTCTGCTCCAACCCGTGACTGTCACGTGTGGCCCTGGCAGGTCTGCCCCAACCCGTGACTGTCACGTGTCGCCCTGGCAGGTCTGCTCCTACCCGTGACTGTCGTGTGTGGCCCTGGCAGGTCTGCTCCTACCCGTGACTGTCGTGTGTGGCCCTGGCAGGTCTGCCCCAACCCGTGACTGTCACGTGTCGCCCTGGCAGGTCTGCCCCAACCCGTGACTGTCACGTGTCGCCCTGGCAGGTCTGCTCCAACCCGGAGGACGCTAAGAGCAGAGGCGCAAAGATAATCTTCGACGACCCGGACGTGGAGCGCGTGCGCCGCGCCCACCGCAACGACCTGGAGAACATCTTGCCGTTCTTGATCCTGTGCCCGATCTACCTGGCCACCGGGCCGACCGTCTGGGTGGCCACCAACGTCATCCGCACGTTCGGCATCGCCCGGATCGCCCACACCGTGCTCTACCTGAATGAGGTACGGCTGGTGGAGTGCTCATCAGGGGAGATGGACCGAATTCTACCGTTGTGAACTACGGCTGCGCAGCTCAAGCCAGGCCAGGAATAGAAGGAACATTGTTTCCACCCCAATGCTTCACACGTTATCGTGGGTGCAAGTCAAAAGTGAGTCACTGCTGCGGGTTTGCTGTTGATTCGTATTGGTCGGACCAGGGGCGGCACCATCGGGGAGGGGGGGGGGGGCAGGGGGGAGCGGGGGCGTTGGAGGAAGCGTCCCCCTCTATCGTCGGATCCGGTGGGGTGGGGGGCCATCCCTGACATAACAATCTTCTTGGAGGAGAGGATATATTCTTTACACCAATTTTCACTACGGAGCCCAGCCCTTATTCTAATTTTTACAAAACAAGCTCCCTTACATCAGTCGTGTTATATTGCTACAAATGCTAGTGCGATGCTACCACGACTTCAAAAAACCGTTCGGCAGTGTTCCCCTATACTGACCGAGTATATGCGATACCCTCCGTGCTTGGAGTTCAAAATCAGTTTGGAGGTGATTAATGCATCATGTTCCTGCAACATCAAAATATACAACATTTTAAAAAATAACGACGAAAACATACTTTTTTCAAGAAACCTGATATTCCGAATAATTTGCATGGGCTGGTTTTGGGTTCAGAGTATCTGCTAAGCATGGCTTGTTGCGTGTGCTTTCAGCCCACCACCCAAGTTGCGCCGTCCAATTCAACCGGTTATTTTGTCTCCGCCTTTTCGCCAGGCTGGGGTGCAGAGAGTTTCACGTCCATCACGAAGCTGCGGCACGCTGTCCGGGCCTAGGTCAACTCTCGTTACGCTGTCCGGGCCTAGGTCAACTCTCGCTACGCTGTCCGGGCCTAGGTCAACTCTCGTTACGCTATCCGGGCCTAGGTCAACCCTCACTACGCTGTCCGGGCCTAGGTCAACTCTCGTTACGCTGTCCGGGCCTAGGTCAACTCTCGTTACACTGTCCGGGCTTAGGTCAACTCCCGTTAGTCAGTTGCCAGCTTAACTCTCCATTCCAGCCGGTCCGAACAATACGCCCTCTTTAGGACTTGTTTACCCAGCGCCACTGGATTACGAGTCCACCATAACTCCCTCAGACCACGGAGACGGCTTTGAGGAATTTCGAGACGCTAGTTGGCTTGGAGGGCGCAGCCAGAGGTGGCGTTACGGGGGAGGAGGGGAGGGGGGGGGGGGGGGTCGTCCCCACTATCGGCGGATAGGAAGAGGGCTGTCTTCCCTATCCTAACAAGCTTCTTGCAGAAGGAAGTGTAGCCTTCACACATATTTTTATTACGTAAGCCTATTTCCATTTCTAGCATAACGAATCTCCCTCACATCAGAAGTATGACATAGTTACGAATGCTAGTACGATGTTACCAGAAGTCAAAAAAACCGCTCGGCGATAGTCTCGTATTCTAACCGAACACATTCACATGCACACATGATATCAAATTGTAGTATACGTACTATAAAGCAATTTTCCTAATATCCCAGGTGCAGCTGCTGTTTTTGAACGCTTATGTCAATGGCCATCACGTTGTTTTACCACCACTTCCTCTGTCGTGATTTTGCAGCAGCCTTAGACCATAAATGGATATAACCCTGCATTTTTACGGATCTTTTCCGTGCATTCCGTGCCTCGAAGCATTTTGCATTTGAGCGCCTTTCATGGCAGCATCATCATCAAGCATTTCATCTACCCATTACTGGATTGGAATGCCAACCCAACGGCAAGTTTATGAATTGGTCTGTTATATTTTAATGCCGCAGCAAAACGATGCTATGATACTTTTGAAAATCGCTTTTCGACGGCTTTAGTGCGATAAAGGTTCGTTTTGGAATGAAGTATAGGTCTGAGTCAGGCTTGTCCGGGGACGAAAGTCCATTTTCCTAATGTTTCCGAGGCTAAAGAAAGCAAAAAAGGAAAACCGCTGAAGCGGATCGCCGCGAAACTTTTTTGTGAACTCTTAACGTATTGTCTTGCGCTCGAGAAATCTGAAGCGCTAAGTGACCGGGCCGTTGAGATCTGGACCATTGCCAATTTATCACAGTCACAATGTGAGGTCAAATAATTATAAGTGATGTAATGTGAGGCACAGCGCAAAGGAGCCGACCCCGGTAATCATCGAACTTCATTGTCTCCTCTCGTCTCCTTATGGCTGCCCGCCAGCCCAGCCACAGCTGAGTGAGGTTTCAGCGCGACTGGGCTGAAAAATTGCTTCGCTTAGTGGTGGCGCAAATAAGGATCTACGCAACAGCAGTGCGCCGCCCTCACCGCCTCCGCCCGGATCGAGTGGATCTTGAGCATGCCGCAATCGCTTTTGCCAATCCAAACTCATTACGCCAGAAAACGTTGGCTGTGTTTAGGGCTGCACCACGAACGGTGTCGCTGCAGACCTGTAAGAATTATGTGAGCTTTCTGATCCGCAAGCAGCGTGTTGTCGGGGTGCCTTTAATGCCACCATCATAATTTGCCAGATTTAGTCTTTTGCTATATTTTCATAAGCAACTAAAACGACGTTTGGAATCGGGTGTCCACGCCAGTGTAGCTGCGGGGTAAAGATAACTGGAACATCACTTTGCAAAGCTTTTTCGGCAGTACGAAATAGCTTTTCCACGTTTATACGCCGATGTATTATATGGCCAATCGTCTAAATGATAATATCCACCGCGCTGAAGAGAGGCTGAGAAGCGGAAGCACTTGAATAAACTGCAAGTAGTGATCATTTAAGAAAACGTCACCTTTTAAACACATGGTTTCTCACTCCATCTCTATTCAAGTGTCGTGATGGTTTCATGAGCTCGCCTCCACCCCCGCTCTCAAAAACTGGTGGCGTCGCCCCTGGGTCGGACGGCGTTTGTCCGGTGTGTGCGTTCTAAGCATGACACCTTCGCATCAAAGTTTAACACAAGCTGCGGCTTTTAATTCCTTCAGAATGGTCTTGACCTCTTGCATTAGTGTCAATATTCTCCTGCAATAACTAAAAGAAGGAAAACCCCAAAGAGCATCACACACATACCAGTGTTTTCAGAAAATCAAGTCTTCTTATGATCCCCATAAAGCATCTCTCAAGGTCAGTGTCATGTAGCGTGTCACGAGTGCGGCTCTGTCCTGTTCCAGGTGCCTGGTGTCCGGGGGCTGGCGTTCATAGTCGGGGTGGCTGATACCCTGTTCATGGCGGGCAGCACCATCATGTACGCCTGCTGAGGCCTTAGGCGGCGTCACCTGAGCCCCCTCCCCTCTCCCGTCACCAGCGGCCGCGCAGGTCGTGACCTCTGCCCTGATCGCGGTTCATCTGATCCCTGGGCGATGGAATACACCCTCCGACAAGAGCGTCCTTTACACGATATAACACAATGCATGGCGGGCATCTCGCTGAAACCCGTTTCAATGCACTAGCGGTGGTGGTGTAGCTTAGCTGTACCCTAAACAGGCTGGCCAACCCCGTCACGTATGTAAACATGGCTCAGCGTGTCACTAAAACGGACCATCTCAGGGTGCTGTATGCAATATATCCGCCTTGTCTGCTCGTGTGCTTTTCCTGGATGTTCCCGATTGTGTCTGAATAGCTGGTTCCATATTAAACACAGCACGCGCGACGCCAGAACTGTAGGCCGGCCCACATTGTTCAACATTTTATCGCAGTATAGTTACGAAATAATTATAGTGCAGTAAGGCTTTGCTTCAGCAGCGGGGTCAGTTCGCTGAATTTTGCGCTTGCTACGCATTTGATGCTGACATCTTCATACGCTTGTTATCACATCTCTGCTCGCTGAGTTATTCGGGAATAAGGCGGTTACAAAACAGTGTATACAAACAGATCCCACATGTCTCGCTGCGCGAAGAGGTGTCGGGGTTGGCATAAGCGCTGCCGCCACACCCCAAGTCGCGTTGACTGCCGTTTCAACAAAGCAAGTGGACGCCACTGGAAGGGTATCTACAAGACGCTATTGTTTCTCAGTTCCAACGATGTGGTGTCTCACAATTCTCCCGTAGGCAGCATCGGAGTTCGCAACTCCTACTGTTATAAATTATCCACGGAGTGGTCGCAGCAGCGTCCCTAGGGGTGAGAGGGCCGCAATATGCTCTACAGGCGACTCTCTCCATGCATCATCACGGGTTCGCTCATGTTACATCACGGCTGATGTTAATCTTCGAAAAGAGATCGCCTGCACCTCCTCCGCCATACTCCTCGTTCCATTCACGTTCTGGCGTCCATGGCCCTCTGTATTCCATCGCTGATTGGGTGGTTGGCCCTGATTTGATTTTTGATTTCGCGGCCCTGATTGGCTGAGTGTCATGGATGCCTTTGTCGCGTCATGGCAGCCCACTTCACTGCCATGCCCTTAGGCATGTCAGTCCGGTGACCAATCAGCGCCGAGGACAGCTGTTTGCCGTTGCGTTGCAAACCTCGTGTATTGGAAGCAACAGAGGGCAGTGTGCTGGCATGTATAACGCGTTCATAGATATAAAGGACTAGATAGGTTACAGCTGTCCGCCAGTACGCGAAACCCGCCGCCATCCTGATAAATACATTGAGCTGTCTGTACGGGTTACTTGGTACGTTGGAGGGGCCGACATTCGGTGTTGGTAGCAAATGCTTCGTTGTTTTGTGGCTTTCGCTGGACTATTGCGTGGTAGCATGGCCTCTGCAAGCTTCAGGCATACCCAATCGGCCATAGATTCGTGTTTTTTCATGTCATTGTTACTGGTGGTGACGGTGTCAGTCGGAGGCCCCAATCAGGTCGCATGGCTCGCTGTCAAGGCAACATTTGTAGTACGGTTCGGGTCAGTGCTCTCCGGGCTTTTAATTTGATGTCTTTTTTCAATTTTTTAGCTGAATTGTCTGAATTCTCGTACCTAGCGTTACCATATATATATATATATATATATATATATATATATATATATATATATATATATACATACATATATATATATATATATATATATATATATATATATATATATATATATATGCATATGTGTATGCAAGTGGTCAGTCACACATAATTTACATTGCCTGGCGCTTGGTCTCTGCAACAAACAGTATATTCAATACGGTGTCAAAATTCTGGTATTGTTTTGTTGTCTGTTCCTAATGCAGGCACAGTGTGTTTGTTACTTTGCAAAATTCACAGTAGCAGTACTGGCGGCTGCACATTTCGCTAATGAGTTTTGGCCAGTGGACTCCCAAGAGCTTATGGCAGGTGCCTGTTTGTACACGGGTTTAGTCGTGGTATTCCTATGATTAATGGTATTGCGCATAACTTTGTGAGAGCAACTAAGTGTTTGTAAATTAGGTGTGTTTTTTTGCACTTTTCAGCTTGACTGACAGAAGACAACTGTCATTTCAAAAGGAAATCTGGTCCTCTAAGTACTGATTACTCCCTGGAATCAGAAACTGATCCCGATGGCATGAAGGCCGTATTTAGCTCGGACTATTCACCCGCACTGCTACCTTTCACCATCTAGATAGGTTACCATTCTACACATTACACAGCCCCCCCCCCCCCCCCCTTTATCCATTGGCAAGACAAGCTTGACACTTCCCAGAAAACAGTTATGGATCATTTTAATCTCACGCATGGTTAGAACTAAAACCTTGGGGACAAATTTACTGTTTTCCTTAGTTGCCATTTCGACATTGCTTGCTTGTTATAGTATTCCTCTAAATTCTCATGGTGGACTTAGAATTGCAAGGGAAATGTGCCATGCTTCCAGTGCCTTTTTACATCAGTTGAACATTTCGTTCGCTTAAATCATTTGAACATGAATGTTTCACTTGTGATTTTTTTGCAACTAGAGCCACCCTCTCTCAGGCCTTTTTTCAACAATTTTAACATCAGTACTGGATACATATTTAAACCACCTGGAGGGCAATTCGGCCAACCACGTTTTAGTTTATTTCGCTGCACTTTGGTACGCATGAAATGGATAGAAATCTTAGGCAGCATCCAGTAAAGCTACTGTTCTGGTGTTTCATGTAACACTACCTGCTTTCAGCCACCTACATTGATGTGCACAACATAAAGTGGCAAAACTGTAAAAATGAGTGACAAACGTTGCCTTGGCTTGCTGGCTCACAATCACTTTACGACACGTATGGAACAGGCAGCACCGAGGCGCTCGATGTACCGGGCGATCATGACCGCCGACCGCGGCTGCTCTCCGCGGTCACCAATGTCATTTGCTATGTTGCCGTATTCGTCGTCCGAAGGGCACTGGACGGAGCAGGCCGCGCCGCCTGCCAAGAAGCGCTGGCGAGCCGTCGGGGTCGGACGACCCCACATTCCACACGACGTCGCAGTCTGTGGCTGACCAGCAGCGCTGGGCTGATAAATCCCTCCGCAGGAGTCGTCAAGAGGTGGTCCTGAGTGCTGAGGAGGAGCTCCGTCGCTTCGTTGTGTAGCTAGACGCAGCTTACCATGCAGTGCCCTGGCGTATGCCGGAGAGTGCATGTGCCGCATACCGATGGTACCGATGCGGTAATGTGCCCCATCGGCACCTATGACGTTTGAGATCCCGGCCGTCACCTCCTGGAAACTCCGTGCGGTTTGGAAAATCACCACACCGCCACAAAAGCCTCTAAATCAGTGCTGTTTAGAAGACATTAGGCAAGCTGTAGGCGACGGTATTCTGCCTTCATTTGCCAGTTGGCGTAACCAGCATATATCCTTTCCTACAGCGCTCATCTCTCCGATCGTCGGGTTCGTCAGGCCTACTCCCTACTTTCTTTATAGGCTTCTGTTACACATGATCTGGGTTCTCGTAGGAAAAAGTGTCTGTGTCTTGATGTGCAGTGAAGAAGCATGCAAATCTGTACGCGACGTTTGATCAATGTCTCGTGCCAGTCAGCCTTATAACTGTTCGTAATTCAGCAGTCTTAACGCCAGATCGCAGAAGCAGTGCGCACGAATCCCAGGCATAATTCTCGGAAGACGTTCGGGGCGGCTTATGACGGTCCAGTCGACCGGTCTGGTCCAGTTGGTCTGACATATTGTCCCTGTTATTGCTGTGAAAATTGTTGTGTAAATAGCTAACCGGTCTTGAGTGCCCGCAAGTGTTCATCCCATCTGTTAGAGACTGGCCAACCAGTCCCTGACCTTGCCGGATGTCTGTTCGGGCGCCGCCTATATGTGGGCGTGGCAGGCACTCGTGCCCTTCGCCTTCTGTGAAGGCCGTGGAAGTGGCGAAGGCAGCGGTAGGCGACATCGCGCCCCGCGCCATGCAGACTAGGCAGCGACTCGTACGTCGGCGCCACAGACGCGGACGCCGGCAGCATCACCGCGGCACCAGGTGTGCCGACGTCCACCCCACGGCAGCACCAGATATTACGCCCCTGGACGCCCACCACGGAACCCGGCACAACGGCGGGTGAACCCTACGGCACTTGACCCACGAATGGCAGGCAGAGCGGCAGTCCGCCGGTGCTTGGCGTGAGCGCGACGGAACCATCCGGGCCGGCGGCAGGGCCGCGGCTCTGTTCTAGGGCCTTGGGCCGCGGTGGTCGTCATCAGGGGTGGGCCCACACTCCACAGACTGCCCGAACGGATGTCGCCCGTACACATCGGATGCGACCGCACCAAACCCCGCGGACTCTAGAGCGCAAGGCAGACAGGAAGACAGCGGCCCCACCATTGCTCGGCGTGAGCACGGCGGACCGTCCGCGCAGGCAGCATTCGTGGAGGTCGGTGGTGGGGATTCCCCCACACGGGTAACTCATTGGACAGCTCAATACAAGATGTTGATGCTTCAGGATTGTCGGCATACGGATTTATCTCGTAAAGACCTTCAAAATCTGTTCTTGCCTGACTTTGTGCTTCCATGACCTAACACAACAACTTCATCGCCCCATGCGTCGCAAAAGGTCTGTCAGCGCGAGTCTATGTTTTTTGTATTTACCAGTAGAGCGGCCGGCTTTGCGCACCAGCGAGCGAACCACTCCATTCACCTGTCATATCTAGCCTGTACATCTATGGCCGCGTCCCACGCGAGGTTTGCTGCAGTCCGTTCCAGCACGCGGAAGGGTGGCAAGGTAGCCCTGCTGGACATTCAGTGCCGGGCCAGGTCCCTGCTGCCGAACACGCCGCACGAGAGGAACACGGATTCCGCTCGGCGAGATGAAGTCCGGCACGCTGCTTTCACTGCTGGTCGTGACGCTGGTCTTGGTGAGCATCTGCGGCAGATAATGTCCAGTCCCAGAACCGGAAAGTAGTCGGTAAGTGGTACGCCCTGTAGAGCACCCTTGCCGGAGTGCCGACTGCGGCTCGTGCACTGAACGCCCGTCGCTCCTCTTCATCCACCGATCAGCACATCTGCGGCATCGAAACGGGACGTTACCCTCAAGCCGGTGCACTCTGCCCAAACCGCCTCTTTTTTTCTCCTGTCGTACATTTTATCAGGCCCTCTCCACGCCCATCGGGTCACTCCAACCTCTGAGGTACGGGGTTCGATTGCCCGTGATGCCTGCCAAGGTGAGATACGAGCGACACCATACAGCCTCTGAAGCTGAGTGCGTCGCGAAGC